TGGGACAGGAGCTGGCTGTGCTGGTGTCACCCCTGGATGCTCTGGGACAGGAGCTGGCTGTGCTGGTGTCACCCCTGGATGCTCTGGGACAGGAGCTGGCTGTGCTGGTGTCACCCCTGGATGCTCTGGGACAGGAGCTGGCTGTGCTGGTGTCACCCCTGGATGCTCTGGGACAGGAGCTGGCTGTGCTGGTGTCACCCCTGGATGCTCTGGGACAGGAGCTGGCTGTGCTGGTGTCACCCCTGGATGCTCTGGGACAGGAGCTGGCTGTGCTGTGTCACCCCTGGATGCTCTGGACAGGGTTGTTGGAGCCGGGGCAGGCTGTGCTGCTGCTCCCGCTGGGATCCCCGGGAGGATGCAGGACATGAATGGATCCATTGAGGCCCGGGAGCTGCAGACAAAAGCCTGGGCCAGCAGCAGGGTTTGGGGACAGGGAGGCTGGCACTTGGGGTCCTCAGTGGGGAAGGGGTGCTTGGGGCACCCGTGGGTGGGGGAAGCTCGAGGCACCCAGTGTGGAGCGGTGCCACCCTGGGCTGTCCCCACTGCTGTCCCCAGTGCCAGTGCTCCAGCCTCATTCCCAGCATCCCATCCCACCCTATCCCATGGATCCCATCACAACCCACCCATCCTACCCCTCCCATCCCATCCCATGGATCCCATCCCATCCCATGGATCCTATCCCACCCCATCCCTCCCACCCCTCCCACCTTCCTCTGCACACCACTTCTCCAGCAGATGCCACCGGTGTCCCCAGGGTGGGGACATGGGATCTGTGGGTGGGGATCAGGTTTGCACCAGTGCCACCTCTCCAAGCTCATCCCAAATTGAGGGGATTTTAGCTTATTTTTCATCTCCCAGCCACTCTTCCAGCTTCCCATCCCAGCCCCACTGGCATTTCCCACCTGGTACCTGTGGCTGTGTTATGGGAATGGACAAACCTCTGTTGTTAGGGTGTCACAAACCCTCACTGCCACCCCAAAATCCTTGTTCCCAGCTGGGACACCCTTTGCCTGGCCAGTGTCACCCAAAAAATGCCAGAAGGGAACGTGGTGATGTCTCCTGCATCAGCCCCGTATCAGCCTGTAGAAACCCTAAATCCTGATGGGAAAATAACTCAGGTCAGGAATTTTTGGGGTTCTCCCTGGGATGTTGATGGGGTGCAGAAGACCCTCCCAAAAGTCTCCTGGCTGGAATTTGTCATCCTGGTGTTCATGGGCAACATCTGGAGGAGATTATTTGGCTGGGAAGCGGATGGATGGCGGGGGTGGGGGAGAGATTTATGTCTCACTGCCTGGGCTGTAAATCCAGCTGTAATTGGGATTTCTGCCTCCCCAGTTATCCCAGGGCAGCGGAATGCAGCAGCTGCAGGACGGGCTCTGTGGGGCTGGGATGCTCCTGGTTTTTCTCCCTCATTTTTGGCTTTGGGGTGATTTGCTGGGGTGTGAAGGACACCCCGTCCTGCCTCAGGCCAGGTCCCCACTTTCCCCTGTTTCCCTTTTTTTCCCTGTTTTGGGCTTCCCCCAGTCTCCATTGGTGCCATCCCCATTGCAGCATCCCTGGGTGCAGCCCCAGACCCTTCTGCCAGGGCAGATTTGGGGTTTTTTCCCAACTTCTTACACCCAAGCACAAAGTTTTAAGGAACTGGATGATGCATTGAGCCCAGAAACCCCATCCTTCTCAAAAATCCCATTCCCTTTCACTCCTGGAGCCAAATTTGGGTGTTTTTCTCCCAAACAAGCCAGTGACACTGCTCACAGCTGGATCTTGGGATGCCATGGGGCTGCAGTGGCCACACCTGGAGAAAGATTTTGGGGCTCTCTGTTAAACTTCCTATTTTTCTGCCCTAATGCTTGGCCTGTCCTGTCTCACCTGGCGTGATTTTGGGATGAATTTTGGGGGAAAAGGGAGCAGAGGCAGCAGGGGAAAGGGCTGTTGGTTATCCTGCAGCTGTGTAAACAGGCTGGGAGTCTGGGGGTCTCTGGAGGGGCTCAGGAGACTTTGCAGAGCCCTGGGAATTTGAGCTGGAAAAGGGATTGGCATGAGGGTGGGTGACCATTCCCTGCCTCCTGTTCTGGGACAAAAGGATGGATGTTTAAATGCCTGTGGGGACCTTCCTGGGTGCCTGCAGCTCACCTGGGGGGTTTTGGGGTGGGGATGAAGCACTCCCATCCTGGGATCACCTGGATCTTCTCCACGGTGCTTCCTGTGGGATCATCTCTGGGCTGGAGCCTCTGCAGGCAAAGGGAAGAGGCAGACCTTGGCAAAATGGTCCCAAATAGACCTTTTGTGTCCCAAAATGAGGCCAGGGGGCACCAAGGATTTGGTCCCAGCAGAGAGGAGCCTGTGCTGGGCAGGGAGCAGTGGGACCAGTGCTGGAGTGTGCAGCATGTGGGGGATCCTGGGACACCTGGAATCCAGCCTGGAACACCCATGTCCCTCAGAAATCCCTTCTCACCTGCACTGGCAGCAGGACAGGAGGGGCTGGGACACGCAGCTGGGTGATGGAATCCTGGGACAGGGTGACAAACCCCGCTGGGACACGGGACATCAGCACAGGGGTGGGACACAGCAGCGGGATGTGACACACGGGCACCTGCAGCCCTGGGACACCAGGATGTGCCACAGCAGGACACACAGTGGGACACAGCCCCAGGCAGGGGCTCTTCCCCTTCCCAGGGAAAGCAGCACAGCTGGGCTGGTGCCTGTGCACGAGAGGAGGAGTGGAAATCCCCGGTGGGACATCAGGGGATCCCCTGGCCCCTTCCTCGGGGGGTCTGGGGGCTCCCAGGGGGATGGGCTCCAGCAGGGAAGGGGTTATCCCTGCTTTTAATTGGCTGGTAACGAGGACCCGGGACTGGCTCTAATCTCTCTGGAATGTGACCGATTTTCAACTATTTTCCTCTTTTATTTTTTTGCTGCTGTTTCACAGCTCGGGTCCCCACTGGGGGGACAGTGGGGGCCGTGTCCCGCTGTAGCCCAGGGATGGGGAGGAAAAGGAGAGGAGGGGGGGGTCATTTTTCCACATCACCACTGAACCGTTCACCAGCTCCCCCCGCTTTGTATATTTTGAAAGAGTCCCCCCTCTTCCTCCCCCTCCCTTCCCCTTTCCCTTCCCCAGGCTCCTGAAATGGCCTCGGAATGAGAATCAGCCTTTTATGCCCCAAACCTTCCCCCGGTGCCGTCCCCCTGCGCCGCCTGTCCCCGTCCCCCGGCGCCTTCTCCGCTTACAGGGCAGCCCAGAAAGCCCCTTTGTGGTGGGAGGGGGCTGGGCTGGGGCTGGGGGAGCCCCCTGGGCTGGGGGGCACCTCCTGCCCTGCCCTGGGCATGGTCCAAGGGGGGAGCACCGAGGGTCTCGTCCAGTGCTCGGAGTGGGGGTCTCGGCTGGGGACAGGTGGGGGTCCCCAGTGCCACCCCAGTGTGGCTGCAGGAGTGGCCCTGGAGCTCTTGGGACTTTGTGGCTGCCCGGGAGCTGTGGACGAGCCGGATCTGGAGGGTGCAGCAAAGCTGCCCCGTGGGGAACAGCTCCTTCATCCCAGGGAGCCTGGGGGACAGTGACCCTGGGGGACAGTGACCCTGGGGGACAGTGACAGCTGGCAGGTCACAGCCAGCCCACAGGGGACAGTGAGCCTGGGGGCACAGTGAGCCTGGGGGGGACAGTGAGCCTGGGGGTGACAGTGACAGCTAGCAGGTCACAGCCAGCCCACAGGGGACAGCCTGAGAGGACAATGAACCTGAGGGACAGTGAGCCCATGGGTGACAGTGAGCCTGGGGGGGACAGTGACAGCTGGCAGGTCATGGCCAGCCCACAGGGGACAGACAGCCTGGGGGGACAGTGATCTGGCAGGTGACAGCCAGCCCACGGATGCTGTGGGGCTGCAGGTCAGGGTGAGCCCGGGCTCGTGGGGCCACCTGCATTCCAGGTGTGCTCTGGGTCCGAGGTGTCCCAGCTGTGCCAGCCCCTGCCAGGGGATGGATCCAGCCGTGGCACCTGGGGGATGCCCAAAGCCCCCTGAGGAGGTGCTGGAGGTGCTGATGCTGGATGGGATGGGGGTGCAGGAGGGGTGTGCTGGACACAGGGGACAGCCAGAGGTGCTGCAGGGGGCACAGGGGACACTTTGGGGGTGACAGGAGGGGAGGAACCCCCCAGCCCTGGAAGAGTTAACGCTCCCCCAAACTCCTGCTGGGTTTTTCCTCCAGCTGCCTCGGCTCAGGAAGGTTTGTGTTTGGGGAAATTCCTGCAGGCAGCTGCTCCAGCCACATTCCCACATTCTCCAGCCCTGGCATCTCCAGGGACCCTCCCTCCCTCCTGCTGTCTTGGGGAAATGCCTCTGTCCCCCCAAACACTGCACAAAGCCCCTTTCTTTGGGGGTGCCAAGGGGACACCCCAGTGTCACAGCGAGATGTTAGCCCAGAAAGGGAGAAAAAACCCCAAAACCTCTTTGCCCGTGGGTTGGGGTGTCCTCGGCTGGCTGTGCAGGCGAGGCCAGGGAATGTTTTGGGGTCAGAGGGTTGTTTCTGAGCTAGGGAATATTTTGGGATTGGGGGGAATTCTGGGGCTGGGGAATCTTTTGTGGATAGGGGTTTTGGAGGGCTGTAGGAGTGTTTTGGGGCTGAATGGGATGTTGCAATGTTGGGGGTGCTTTGGGGCTGGGGGTGTTTTGGGGTCAGGAGATGCTTTGGGGCTGGGGGTGTTTTGGGATCAGGAGATGCTTTGGGGCTGGGGGTGTTTTGGGATCAGGAGGTGCTTTGGGGCTGGGGTGTTTTGGAATCAGGAGATGCTTTGGTGCTGGGGGTGTTTTGGGGTCAGAGGCTGTTTGGGGCTGGGAGTGTTTTGGGATCAGGAGATGCTTTGGTGCTGGGGTGTTTTGGGGTCAGAGGGTGTTTGGGGCCAGGGCTGGGGTGGTTTTGGGGCTGGGGGGGGATGTGTCAGGACTGGGGCAGGGTTTTTGGGGCAGGGCTGTGCGGGGTTCCTGGAGGGCAGTGTCCCTTCCCTCCCGTAGTACCTGCAGATGAAGTGGCCGCTGCTGGACGTGCCGGCCGGGGCCACGCTCAAGGACAGCCGCTCGCCCTCGCCCGCCCACCTGGTGAGAGCAGCCCCCAGCCCCGGCGGGGGTGGGTTCCCAGCACCCCCGTGGTCCTGCCAAGGATCCTTTCCCATTCCGTGGGGGATCCAGGAGTGCTTTGGGCAAAGACCCCTCCCCTGGGGCGCCTGCAGGGCTGGTGGGGCGCCCCTGGCCGTGCTGCCCCGCTGCCCAGGGGTGCTGCCCAGGGCTGTTCCCCTGGGGTGAGCCCTGCCACACGCTCTGCCCGCAGTCCAACAAGGTCCCCGTGGTGCAGCACGCCCACCACATGCACCCGCTGACGCCGCTCATCACCTACAGCAGCGAGCCCTTCCCGCCGGGGTCGCCGCCCGCACACCTCTCCCCAGAGATCGACCCCAAAACGGGTGAGGGGGCTGGTGGGGGGGCAGGGGGTGGGTGAGCGGGGCTGGGGACATGG